ACGTATGTATGTATATATACAGTATATAAAGATTTAATCAAGCAGTTTTCCATAAGTATGCTGCTTATTGCTTGTTTGTCTTCATGTGAAGATTTATGCAGTGTAAGCAAGTACTTCTCCCCTCCCCCCCCTTTAATTACTTTTTAATTCAAGGTAAGAGCCCTACTGGGTCAAAGCAATAATCTTTTTTTTCCCAGATTGCTGAATGGTATGACCTTTGGGAGAACTTGATAGCAATAGAACTTTCCTGCTGCCTTCTCCAGCAACACGTTTTGGCTGAAAGTGCATACCATGAAATAGAGTTGGCTGCTTAGTGTGTTTTGCAAATCCAGCTGGTGTGATTACTTTATGGCACAGTGTACTGTACAATTCAATTGAATTAATAATGTTAACTGTAGAAGGCATTGGGAATGGCCTATTAGGACAGGAGGAAGAGCCGCTATCAAGGCAACGATCAGGTAAGCATGGCTTGAGTCCATTCCAAGAAGCTAATTTGAGAAAACGCCTCAGATAGGCCCCTCATTAATTCACACAAAGATAAAGTGAGAAAGGAGGGGGGCACATCCAAACTTGCAAGATTCTGTTACTACAGGTGGTCCTCAGGTTACGACTGCTTGTTCAGCGACCGTTCAAACTTATGATGGTGCTGAATGAGTGGGACTTACAACCGGTCCTTGGAGTTCCAGCCCTTGCAGCATCCCCGCAGTCACATGATTGCAATCTGCACTTGGTGCCTGGCTCCCAATTGCAACATCCCAGCAAGCCACAGTCACATGATCAAGATTTCTGACGTTCCCTGCCGGCTTCCCACAAGCAAAGTCAATGCGGAAGCTGGCAGGAAGTTGCAAGTCACAGTCACATGAGGTCCTTGCTTAACAACAGCAACTGGGACTGTCAGAACTGCCATTGCTAAGTGACATGGTCACATGACATTGAGTTTAATGACTGTGTCGCTTAGCGACAGCAATTCCAGTCCCAATTGCTGTTGTAACCTGAGGACTGTCTGTATAATGGTTCCAATAAAAGTAGTTTCAGATCTATATGGCTTTGATTTCTTAGTCTGGCCTACCTTATAGGGCTGACGTTAATCTTGGGTTAATATACTTTCTCTGGTCATGGATATACCATATTGCCATCACGGTTGTTCACACTGATTGTGTGAGCTTCCATTGATCTAATTTTAGAGCCATTTAAATGTCTGCCACCACATTTTGTAACACCCAGTTCCCATGTAATGTTACCTATTTATGTAATCACCAGGGTTGATAAAGCCAGCTGCAATTGCTATTTCAGTTTCCTACTTAAACTATTTCCATATTATGTGGTATCACTACTTCATTCAACACTGAGTTCTTTATTCCCCCATTTTAAGTAAGTGTGATGTCCAGCCCAGAAGATGGTCATCTTCAGAGGTGAACCTGCAGATGAACTGTCCCTAGAGTAGTGCAGACTGACTATGCTCATTAATGGCAGAATATTATTAAAAGTCTATTAGGAGGATGAAAAACCAAATATGAAATGCAATAACTTGTATGAAGACAAGATTAGTTGGCTAACCAACTAGTGCCCTGAACATGAGCATAAGGGGAATGTTTCATTTCAGGTCCCACTCTTTTATTGATCATTCATAACATAAAAGTCAAAGGAGCAAAAATGAAAAAGAAGAAAGCACATTATTGTTAATGTAAACCAAAATAAAGACATTTTATTTTGATGGGAATGAACAGAGTTTTCTTCTTCTCTCCCAATGCCCAACGAATACCCTTCACTAGTTCAGCTTTAATTCAGCTGGAAGGTGTAGACTGCCTCAAAGTCATTTCTCTTCCTTTTTCTTCTTATCACCACTGTGAGCCTGTGTAATTTAAAAAAAAGACATTGTTTGACCTTAAACTGAGGAATCTTTCATCTTTTCAATATAATCCTGGAGGGAGAGAGGGCTTCTGCCTCTTAAACAGGAAATGATTAATCATCTCAGCTTTTCATCACCAGAGCCATGCTTCTGTTCTTTTCATAGACAGAGAAGATCCATTACACCAAAATCTTTCTGATTCCAACTGCATGTGTAACATGAGTGGGCAACTTGCAACTCTAGGAACATATATAGCCCTTAGCCAACTTACGTACAAAACATTCTGCAAAAGCTAGTTTAGACCACTGGCAAGAGCTATCTGTTCTTTCTCCACCACCTGTTGTTTGTGTGAGAGAGTACCATAAAATATAGAAATAAAAAAGGATTGTCAGATAAGTCCCATAGTGTTTTACTTTTCCCCATCCCCTTTTGCTTATTGCATTCATCACGTGCCTAACTACAAATTACCTCTGAAGGAATGTACAGAAAAAATGTTCCTAACCCAAATGTATAGGAACTAAATCAATATTGGTCTCACTAAATCTCTCCAGTTCAATGTTACCTCGTGATGACACACAGCAAAAATCCCAGAGCCTCCAGAAAAATAGATCAAATTAGGTCACAGCTTTTATAGCAGATTTTTTGTAATCTCTATAGTTTTGGTGGACAGATTGTATTAAATTACAACCAAACAGGGAAAGAGATAAAACTGGGATCTTAATAATATTTAATATACATTATGCCCAACATTCAGGTCAAATACTGGGATTTGCTCTCCCATACTCTGCAATTTCTGCTCCAAAGGGCCCTTAACATGCCCCCTCCCAGTGAAGCAAATTGGGGGAGAATGTGGAGAATGTGCCTTCCACTGGCAGTTTGCGTTCTGTAAGGGGATACATATGGATTGATGTATATATCCAGCTTCATTCTGATATATGCAAATGATAGTAATATTTCTGTCATATTTCTATTTAGCAAGTGGCACCATTAGAAAAAGAAAGTTTAATTTATACTGCCCTTCCTTTCTATGACTGTCTCAGATAAATCAACCAGGGCCTCAATACTGTTTCTGAATTTCCAAATCTTCATCTTTGGCAGATGATCTTGCTCCTAAAATTCCACTATCGAAATACTATTTACAGTAAACAAATTGAAGCTCTCACTGTTATTCTTGTGTATACAATTTTACTTCCCTGGCAAAGAAGCTAGGGATATTGGAAGAGTGCTGCATTACCCAAACTACACAATAAAGAAACTTACAGCACTTTTTGTTAGGTGCTACACTTCTTTGAAGCTACACACCAGTCAATCAGCCAAGCATGCTTTACAAAGCAACATGGTCCCCTTACTTCCACAAGTGAAATGAACATGGCTGCTTTGAGCCCCCTTCACCTTCTGCATCCCTCAGGGGTCATCAAAAAATGAGAAGGGCCTTCTCCTGTTGCACTGGTTGGGGGGCCTCCAATGCACTCTCAGTGCACACTGAGGGGTCTCCTAGGCTGGGCAGGCCACAGGCTAGAAGCTTCTGGTGAATGGATGAAAGAGCCCAATAGCATAACCCAGAATCTCCTTCCATGAATGGTTGTAAACAAATGGAGAGATAACCATGATGAAGGAATGCCATTGCCGTTAAAGGAAGGAAAATGACAACTCAGTCCTGGGAGAGTGAGAAGTGTGAGAAAGAAACTCAAAATAATCCCACCTTGATTCACCTTGGTTTAAGAGGGGGCAGAGAGAATTTTGGATAGGCTCTCTAGATTCTGTTAATGCAACAATAAAGTAGCATTCCTGTAATCCTTGTGGTGTCTGTTTCCTGACCTGGCCTACCTCTAAGGGCTGACAATGGTTGAGAGAGTCCAGCTGTGCAACTGGATAACCTCCAGGCAGGAAAAAGTGTTTTGGGATTGCTGTATTAAGAAAAGCTTTTTTCCCATTGCTATAATGACAGGTGATAACAAAGCAATAGAAAATAGAATGTTGATGGCTATATCCCCAGTTTTCCATATATGTCAGCATTATATTATCTGAAAACTGGTGAACTATAAAGCATTTGTTGCTGGCCAGATACTGGCCTCTGATGGCATCTCTGGAGTAATTTTCATAGAGGTACTAAAGTGCAGATATTTGTGTGCATGTGGGGAGCAGTTAATGGACTGGAATTATTCCATACAAGTAATTTCCTCCACATTAAAAAAAAATTAAGTATACAAAGGAGATGGGCTCTTGCCTAAACATCTTTGTGGTATTTTTTTTTCCTATCTAAACAGGATATTCTGTTATTTTTGTTCTATACCATCATGTGAGTTCCTTACAGAAGCCTCAAATGGTACCATCCAGACTTAGATTTGTCACCTCTATGAGAATTAGGTTTTGTATGCTGATGTCACCTACAGATCTGCAAAACATTTCAAGGTTGAAATAATCCTGATACTTAAATGTCCTGTTCAGCTTTACCCAAAGTACTATGACAATAAAACAGGCCCTTCTGACTCTGTCTTAGTCAGAATGGCTCACTTCAATTTGGATTACTTTTGGTGAGGTTGGAACAGCCTATTCTGATGCCAGAACGTTCCCCCAGAATTCAGAATCTGGATTTTGGAATGAGATGTTTCAGGATTAGGACTTTTCAGCTTCAAACGTTTTCTACACCGCTAGTGGAAACTTGCTTTCTAGCAGGACTGCTGAAAGGCTAATATGTAGTAGGTAACTCTTTCCTGGAAGAAAATGTAAAGGGCTATTGATAGTAGTAGTTAAAACAGCCTTCCTCGTCTGAAACATTCCAGAAGTTAGTAGAGTCTTCAGCTCTAATTCCACCAATAGCCCATCCTTGCTACCTGGGAGTTGGTGAAATCCCACACATCTGGGAACACCACATTGGTGAAAGTAATTGGCAACTCTAATTGTTGATATATTTCCCTTCAATCTATCAAGTACCCATTAAACTTGTATTACCTTTCCAGAATCACTGTCAGAGCTGCTGCTACTGCTGGAGCTGTCATCATCTTGCCCATCATGCTAGGAAATAAAAACCAAGAGATTAGGCCAGCAGCAGGATAAAGCATTCGGCCTGCCAGTCAACTTACGTAGTACGTGGATGGCCTGTAGCTAAGTGGTAGAGTCCCTGTTTTGCATACAGAAAGTCCCATACTCAGGCCCTGGCATCTACAATTATAGTGGGGGAAAAATCCCACTAACAACCTTAGAGAGTGACAATGGACATAGAATCAGAGAGTCATTTAGGGGCCATTTAGGCCCTCAGGTCCAACCCCCTACTCAGTGCAGGGATCCATGACATGCAGGCACTACTTGAATACATCCAGTGAAAGAGAAGTCATGACTACTCTGGTTAACTAATTCAATTGTCAAACTGCTCTTTTGTTTGACAAATTGTTAAGAATACTTTTTCTCCTAAAATTAGTCAGAAATTGCCCTCTGTTAACATTAACATTAATGTCCATTATTCAGTTTCTTATGCTTTGGGACAGTCCAAACCAAGTCCTGACCTTTGTGTGACCTGCTTTCAGATACTTGAAGAGTGCTATTATATCACTTTCAATTTTCCCTTCTCAAGGCTAAGCATTTTCAATTCCTTCAATCTCTCTTTGTAGAACTTAGTTTCCAGTCCCCAGATTATGCCCTTCTCTGAACCTGTCCCAGTTTGTCTGAATCCTCTTAATGTTTGGTGCTCAGCACTGGAACCAATGTTTCATAGAAGAATAAAGTGAAATCATTATTTCCTGTGATAAGGCAACTATACTTTAATGCAATCTAAAATTGCTATGACTTTTTCTATAACCACATAACTCACATTCAGTTTGTAATCAATTATTCTTCCGAGATCTTTTTTACAACTAATATGGCTAAGGTGGGAATACCCCTTCTATATTTGTGCATTTCATTCTGATTCCTAAATGAAGAAATCAAGAAGCTATTTTATTAAGAACTTAAGAAAAATGTCAAACAGTTGAAGGTTCAGGTGACCTGGTGACCTGATGACCTGATGACACTCTGCCAAGCTGCCTTTCAGTTTGATAAGGGACAATTAACACTCTTTGAGTACATTTTTGGCCAGGTGTGTACTTACTTAACATTCATAAGCATCCACAGAAGGCAAAGTGTGGCATATAGCATCATGATGTCATCACACAGATGATGCAACTTACATACTTGAGAGAGATGTCATAACACCACCAACATAAACATGTAATATACAGCATTTGCATGATGAACTCATATCTAAGAAAAAGAGACAGAGAGCAACTCTTGTCTCCAAATTAGACCTTAGGTGAGGCTAACCCACTGTATTCTTTTCACTGAACAAAGTCAATGTGCCCAACCTTTGAATATATTATAATTTTCCTATAGTTCTGTTTTTCTTCTTTTTCTATCATTTTATATTTTGCTGTAAGCCATTCTATCATCAGCCCACGTATTTTACTCTTTACATGGGAAATTGCTAAATTTTAGCACAGCAAATATTCTCAGTCAGCAGGCAAGAAGAACAAGGAGCAGAAATGTAGGGGGGGGGGTTCTTAGTTTTTTTGGAGTGATATAGTGAAAGACTTTTTTCTTTTCCTTTTAAGAGGGAAAGCAATGACACTCTTCTTGCCAGCTGGTAATAAAAAAAGAAGAAATCCTGTCTCTGCTCTTTACATTAAAGATCTGTTAGACTGTAGCATTAAGTATCTTATAATCTTTCATAGTAAACCTCACTATTGAACTGTGAAGTGCGATAAATTAAGAGTGGGCAGATTTCACATTTATAGAAGCTACTATGTGTACATGTGTATAGTGACACTCTTAAGATTCATCAAAGTATCTGGTTGCCCAAGTTGACAATGTAGTTTAATATTGTTTCTTGTATTATTAAATAATTAGGAGTCAGAAATCCTTGTCAAATCATCACAAAATATCTACTGACTCTTAGGTTGGATCATGGATATGCAATTTTAGTTCAGCTGAAGGAGGAATTAATGAGAAGCATTAGTCCTCCAGCCTGGTAGGATGGAAGTAATTGAAAAATAGAGGGAGAAAAAGCAATCTTTAGTATGTAAATGAATTATATTAGTGTACTTCAAACACCAGAGAAAGAGAAAGTTTTATTTGGCTAATGACTGGAACATAATACAGCACAATCAAATAGACAAATATAAATAATTTATGACTAAAATCTATAAAACTAAGCCAAGTGACTAGGCTTATAGTCCTATAAAAACCTATTAATCTATAAAAATGAGCAAAACCTAAAATCTATTAAAACTAACTACAGGACTAAACCTATAAGACCTTTAAGGGGGTTCAATTCTCTTAGTATATTGGAGCTCACATTTATGCTATGATACAATAAAATATGGTATATAATTTGTAAAATCTACTCAAATTATATCTAAGAAAGATAAATACAACCCACATACTCTTTATACTCTTGCAATTATATTTGAAACTCCATTCCCAAGCAGAATCCTTCAACTAGAATGAATAAAATCCTTCCTTTCTCACCGCAGGCGTAAAACTCAGTTTTTGGAACAATACAATTCACTGCATAGAGAGAGAGACACGCACAGACACATATACACATACCTCCTGGCAAACTGCTTATAGTTCTCTTATTCCCACAATAGCAAACTAGGGATTTGCATCTGGAAGGAAGAAAGATAAGAAGCCCAGCTCACTCCTTTCCTAAAAGGTTCTCCCAGTTCCCCATCTCCATCTAGTAATCAGGAGTTTCAAATGAATGAAACTGATCTCTTCTTTCCCACCATGCCCTACCTTTGAATGAATACTGGGCAAAGAGCAACTGTTGTAAAATAAATCTCTCATACACGTACACAGTAAAAAATCAGGAAGAAGAGAGAGAGAAGCCCTTTTATAACAAGCTCTATTTCTGCTTCCCCTCCCTCCTTGTTTTTATTTTATTTTTTTTAATTTGATCATTTCTCATCTCTTTTGTATTTTTCTGGTTGCTTTTGTTTTACCCATCCTTGAGCCAGGTGGATGGGTAGATGAGGGGTAGAGATCAGGGCAGGGGGAACAGTGCTGAAGTGGAAAAGAGTAAAGGGGAAGAAAGAGTGGAGGGAGGGAGGGAGGGAGGGAGGATAAAAAGCAATGGAACAGGTCAAAGGTTGGATGAGAGGAAGGAGTAGCTGGAGTAGAAAGGGTAGAAAATGGGGCGGGGGGACAAATGCAATAAAAATTGAGAAGAAGAGGGTCTGGAATAAACTGCAACAGCAGCAGCAAGAAATAAAATGGGGGAAAATGGAGATGAGAAGATTGTGAAGATGTGGAATCAATAGCAATGAGAAGGTGAACCAGGAATATTCTTCAGCAGAGGAAATTCCTTGGGCCTGTTGCACAGTCATTCTAGAACAGAACACACAGTCAGGCAAGGAAGGCACCTTATCCTGCCCCATGCTTGACTTACACAATTTTGTTCTTGGTCAGTGGTAGCCCAGGATACAGCTGGTTCAGGGAAGGGTAGAAAGAGGTGGTGGCAGCAAAAATATAGGGCAACATGGAGCAGATGGTGGGAGGCAAGGAAAGGAGAAAGATGGCATTGAAAGTCAGAGAAGTGGTTATGGCAGTTGGGGGAAAAATTTCATGTTGCTGCTAGTGAACTTTAGCAGAAGCTGGGAGAAGGGACTTAGGGAGCTGCATTATTATAGAAACAAGAAAGTAAGAACCAAAGTAAAGCCACAATGAACTCTAATTGATGGACAGAAGAAAAGAACAGGTTGGTAGCAGCAACAGAGAGCCCATCATCTCAAAGATGACAAGAACGAGAAATGGTCTAGGTCTAGGTGTCTGGAAGGGCTTAACAGCCAATTCTGGAAATAGTTTAATGTCAGATTCCACTGAAAAAAATATGTACCTAGAGGCAAAGCTCATGAACAATACATGCTGTGCTAAAGGAAACGAGAATGTTATAAAAGGATGGAATCAAGTTGCTCGCTGGAAGACATCTGACCCAGGTTCTGCTGTGCACTGTCTTCCCCAGGACCAGAGCTTGGCCAGCCTGGTTGTGAGATGACATGCAAGTTTGAGCTATGATGAAATAAATATGAGCTGATTACTGAAGCTGCCTAAATAACACTTTTATTGCTTGATTTTGGGTTTAAGGTCTCTTAAACTACTGTTTAAGCTCTCAGCATTAATCTTGGAGTGCAAATGTTCCTACCTCTTGTTACAGAAAGCAATGATGTTCAAGTTAGACCCCTCAAATTCTTTGATAGCACTGGACTTTTGGGAGGAGCAAATGTGGTCCATGGACTCTGGCTGGCATCCTTCCATATTAAATAACACTTGGACATTATTCATATTTTGAATACCATGCTGAGCATAGGTATGGGTTACCCAACTTTACCTTCGAAACAAGCCTGTGAACTAATCTAGACTCACTGTCTGTGTTCACACAGCACCTAAATCTTAAGTCTGAATTAACAAACCACAATGGCTATCTACATATAACAAGCTGTGTCCAAAGAAATAAATCATATTATGGCTTAGTGTGATAACCAGATTCACACAAATTGTTAAAACAATGATTGGATTCCTACAAAAGCAAAATCAGAAATTGCCCAGAGCATCTACACTGTTGAGCATGTCATGCAAACCCTGCCAGACAATGACTTACCCTTGGTTACCCAGAGGATCACATGTGGTTGTAGAAGTTAATCCAGGATTCCTCAACCAAAGTTCAAAGTCTAATCACAATGTCACTTTTTGCCAGCTCACACTTCTATGGTAATTAGCTAATTTAGTGGGAGGTGTACTTTTGGGGAGGCATAATTATGGGACTTTCCTTGTGGCATGAAGATGAAGGCTATTATGAGGAGCTCCTGCATGCTAGAATTTATCACCACTTGTTTTTTTTAAACAATGAGTGGAGTCCTTTCCTCAGCAATTTTTCCATGTACTTCATGTAAATAGAAAAGAATCATGCAAGGCAGATGACAGATTTGTTAAATGCCATGACTAAAGGAAGAATACAATCTCTTGGGAGATTAAATCTCCAGCATTTGTTAAGAACGAACAAAAGTTGCCACACCCTTTTAGAGAACACATGCCACCGGAGACTGAATTAGTAACTTTTCTCCATACCTTCAATATACACTGGAACACCCTATGCCATAAAATGCTGTGATGTGAGAAGATGAAAGTTTAAAGGGCAAAAATACACCTCACTCTTACTCTACTCTGAAAGCTCATTCACAATGTATCCTTTGAATGAACTCCTTAATCCATGTTTTGCAAAGGAATTTTTCCACTTTCTTACGTGCCCAGTGCTCTACGTGCATTTTCCTATTTAACTTGTTTTAATTAACTAAGCTGGGTCCAGATTGACTCCTACTTAGAACAGGGAAGAAAGAGCCAACTGAGCTTGAATTGCACATAAAAGATCTAAAATAACCAAAGTGTTGACTCATGCCCAAGAGTATCTATTGGCATGTTACCAGAGTACATGAGACTTCTGTAAACACATACTTCTTCTCCACCCAGACCTTGATGCAAACAAGACCTTCCCTCCCATTCTGCCTTCATCAGGTTTCTCTGTCAATTCAGATTCATTATTCTAAAAAGGTCTCTGAGTGATACCACCTGTATTTGGACTATTCTTTTACATAATCTTCCTCCCACATTTTACCTATTCTACTATCTGAGGCATGTTTATATTCCCACAAATATCCACATAAAAGAGATCACAGTAGGAAACAGATCCAACTGTGCTTGTCCGTTGATGGAACGGCATTTGCCAGTTGAGCTTTCTTCCTCCCAGAACCTGATCTGGAAAGTTGAAGGATCCCCTGGAAAGATTTGGGGGATGCATGGGTGGAGACAGGTGGAAAGAAGAGGGAAGTTCTATCACATGAGTGTATATTAGCTCACACGATATTGGAGGCAGTTTGAATTGAATATGACAGGTTGATCCACACATTACTTATTAAATCTGTTTACCAGTGCACAGTCTCCCACATTTATTTATTTTATTTTTATTTATTTATTGGATTTCTCTCCCGCCCATCTCCCCTACAACAGAAAGGAGTAAGGATTTTGCTGGAAAATGTTGTGTGACAATTGGGCAAAATTTACTGACCACAGCTATCACATTGTACACACTTTCCATAACTTCAAGTTCCTGCAATATATTCCCTCAACATATTTCGAGAACACAGAAGTTTTAGTCCTCCACAATTGAGAACATGCCTGATATTTAGCCCCAAAAGCATTTTCCTGAGCCTCACAGATTTCATGAAAACATTGAGGAGAACTGTTTATATCTTGTTATAAACATGAAAATGCATAGAAAGTAAGCTTTTTTAAAAAAAGGCATTGATGTTTCTGATGTTTAAGAGCGCCCTTATGGGTGAACTGCCTTCCTCTCAAGGTCTCTAGTCATCTTCATCTATCTTAAAACTTCACTGATTTTCACATGTCATCAATCCTTTCTTCTTGCCACCCAGGCCAATTACATGAACACTGTAAACTTTTTCGAGGCAAATGTCCTGGGATTTTGCTGTCAAAAGCCAAAGCCGGAGACAAAGATGAATGTTACCTTCTAACTGAAAGACATTAAAATGATATCTCTGTATTTCATGTTTTACTTGAATACTGTTTATGAGGCCACCAAAAGGATTACAGAGACTCTGACCAAAGCTAAATCAGGATTTTTGGCCCACGTGCAAATTTACACACAAGAGACTTCAGCCAGGATCCAAAGAGCAGTAGAAATAGTTACGTGATCATAAACATCTTTTTTTTCCTCGAAGAGCAGCTTTCTCTTTCCCATGTTTCAGGAAACTCTGGCAAAGTTCAAAAGCACTTGTGATATGACATGGGGTTGCTTGGATATTGAAGCATGGCTGGCTGGGGAATTCTGGGAGTTGAAGTCCACTCATCTTAAAGTGGCCAAGTTTGGACAACACTCCTGTAGAATCACTGGGCTGGAAGAGGTCCTTTATAATCCTGAGCCCGACTCCCCCTGTTCAGTGTAAGAATCCAAATGATAGCTTCCCAGACAAATGATTGTCTAAACTTCTGCTTGAAAACATCCAATGAAGGGGTGTCCACCATCTCATTCACCTGTCAGAATGCTCTAACTCTTAGGAATGTTTTTATTAACATTTATTTATTATCATATTTAACATTCAACCAGAATCTGTCTTCCACTGAAATTCATTATTCTGTGTCCTACACTCTGGAATGAGGGAGAACAAGTTTTGATTTTTTTTCTATGAGGTATTTTTTCAAGTATTTGAAGAGTGCTATTTTATCTGCCTTCAGTTGTCTTAGTTCAAGGTTAAACAAACCCAGCTCCAATCTCTCTTCATAAATCTTAATTTCTACCTCCGATCATCTTTGTTACCCTTCTTTGATCCCATTCCATTTTCTCTGAATCCCACAAGTAGGGTGCCCAGAACCGATGCAATAAAAAAGTGGTGTTTTATTCTAAAGCAGAATAGAGTGGAATGATTACTTCATGATTTAGAAATTTATACTTTTGTTGATGCAGTCAAAAATTGATTTTCCTCTCTTTGCATGTCTCTTATTCAGTTTGCACTCAACTGCAATTCCAAAATCTTTTTTTCAAGTACAGTACTATTATCACGATAGCTTATACTTATGCATTTGATTTGAACTTTGCACTTGTCTTTGTTTACCCTCATTAGTATTATTTGCTTTTAATATCTGCTTCCTTAGAAAACCTCATCAATCCTGAATTTTTTTTCCCCAGCCCATCCGTACTGCTTTGGGAACCTATTTATAATTGAACTAAGTTTATTTAAGTCCACATTTTTGAAGCCCATGTTATGTGGACTTCAGTTGTAGTTTCCCTTATAATCAAGAACTATAGCATTAGGTGGTCACTTTCCTCCAATGTTCCTCCTACGTCCACTACCCAACTAATTATTTTCTGTTGATTAAATCAAAACACGGATAAATTATCCTCTTTTTCATCTTTTACTCTGTGAAGGAGAGGACAAAAGGGAAACTGTCTGGAAGTAGTTTGCTTAGCAGGGTTTGTCTCCCAACAGATGTCAGAGCAATTAAAGTCTCCCATCATGACTAACTTCATGTCTCTTTGAAAGATAGCAGTTTTCTTTTGGAACACATCATCAACACCACCTCCTTGGTTGGCTAGGTGATAGCAGATATTAACAACAGTATTGCTTTTACTTGTTCTTCCATTTATTTTAACCCAGCTGTTCTCTGCAGCATTGCCAAGTTCATTCATTTGGGTTTCTGAGCAGAAATAGATATTTTTAACCTATGATGCAACTCTAACTTTCTGTTGCTTCTGATCCTCTTGAACAAATGGTCAGTTCTGCTCACTACATCAAACCAATAAAACTGCATCAGGTTGATGATTTAATATGGCTAAGAATCAAATAGGATGAAAACATACAACAGAGAAGTGAATAACCGACAAAAGATTTCCCTGCCACTTCTGTATGGTATTTGTGATATGGTATGGTTTTATATCGCCCTCCACTTCACCAGGTGAAATTGGCTGACACTAAGGAGTGTAACTGTGATTTGCCAAAATGCACATTCATTTGAATATGGGTTTGAGCATTGCTCATGATCCCATAACATCCCTTCCAACCCTTAAGATTTCTGTGAAAACTACCAGTATTGCAGTTTTAAGAAATGTGGGGTAACTTTGATTTACAGTATATCCTCATGGCAACGTTCCTTCCTTCAACCTTTCCTACAAGAGGGAAATGATATAGGTTGAGCTCAGAGCTGATGGCTAGACCAGAGTAACCCCGGAAGCTTCCATAATGGACAGTAGATTTGAAGTTCTTAGTCCAACACCTTAACCAATATACTATACTATGCTGAAAAGAGACAAAGAACTGAATTAGCTCTGCAGAAAATTTCATGCATTATAGCAGTGTTCCTCAACCTTTGCAACTTTAAGATATGTGGACTTCAACTCCCAGAATTCCCC